TATTATCTCTAAATGCCTTTCTTTGGCTGAGCCCAATTTTCCCAGTTCCTTTTCTGACACATCTAGTTCTGTTACTGCCACTTAGTCCCTAGAGACAACGTTAAGCAAGAAGCTAGCTGGGAGGAGGGAAGCAAGGGGGCTATGAACTGAATTATGTTGAAACCTCAAGCCCTAAGGTGATTGGGTTTGGAGATAGGGGCTATATGAAGGTAATTAAGGTTAAATGAAGTTACAAGGGTGGGGTCTGACCCAGTAAGATTGGTGTTCTTATGAAAGGAAGAGGAGAGACCAGAGAGTTTCTCTCTTTCCCCCCAACTCTTTCTCTTCCCCTCAAAGAAGAGGTTATATGAGTACATACAGAGAAAGCGACCATCAAAAAGCCAAAAGGAGAGAATTCAGAATAAAACCTACTTTATGGTACCTCTATTTAAGACACCCCAGCCTCCAGAACTGTGAGAAATACATTTCTGTTGTTTATAAGCCACTCACTCTATGATATTTTGTTATGGTGGCCTGAGCAGATTAATATGGTGGGCGTGAGGCTGTGTGAGAGAGAGAAGGTGGGTGCGAGAGCCGCTGGGAGGCGACCACGGATGGCTCTGTGCGGGAGCAGCATAGGCTGGCAGCACCCGTGCATCGCTCGGCAGGACGTCCTCTAGACAGCTCCGATTCTGCTCTGTTGTAGGCTAAGGTGAAGTTCACAAAGAGACTATATTTTAGCATAATAAGCAATCTTGAGGAAAAAATTACAAGTTCATAGTAAAGTAAGGGAATAATAACAGAAGCATCAACTGCTGTTGAACCCACATATTCTGCTCTTCCTCTTCTGGGATGGAGCTGAGGCTAGGGCCACCCCACACCCAGCCAAAGTCCAGCTGGTCTCTGAGGAAAGAGAATCAAACAGATTGAGGCCAAAGGATATTTTTCCTCCTGTTGATCCCATTCAATCCATTTCTTTTCCCCTTATAGAGGCTGCAGGCTGAAGCTGATTTGCAAAAGAATTTCTACAATGTTATTTGGATTTTGTTTTTAATCGTTGCTGTGGATATAGACTGTGGTGGGTATAGAGCAAAGGATGGACATGGAGCTTATTTATTAATGTATTTCTATATCCTAAAGGAGAGATTGCCTAACACTGTCACATGGCACATGCTCAAACCTTATCTGCTGCCTTTTAAAATGAGGTGGGTATCTATTACTTGACAGAGGATATTCCTAACACTGCTTGTTGTTCTCCACTGCCTGACAATGTCATACCAGTAATATTGGAAAGCTTAAGTGTCAAGCCAGAAGAAGGTCTGTGCCCTAACACAGTTCTAATGGAAGGAATTCCATTTGGGGAGAGCAGAGAGAGAGAGAGAGAGAGAGAGAGAGAGAGCGCACACGCACGCGCGCTGGTTCTGGTGGCTCATTCTTATAGCCGAGCTGTTGGTTGGGCTGGTTTTCATTTAACTTTGACATTTGACTTTGTTGCCTCTTCAGAATAAGGTCTTTTATAATTTCCTCCCTTTTCCCTGCATGATTTCTGACCATTTTGGGTAAAGCAGAATTATTTCAATGGGTATTTGATTTTTCTTTGGACCCCCATTTTTAGTAAGCACACAAAAAAACTATTCATCCACATTTCTACCTTGCACTAAACGTTCTTTGTTAAGTTAAATTCTACAGGCTGGGCAGCATAAACATTCAAGAAAAAAAAAATTTCATTGTACCGCCAACTCTAAGGATCTGGCACCAAACAGTCCTCTAAGGTTTGTTTAAATAAGAAATGTATTAAAAGAGAGACATTTTCAAGTGATGATGGCCATGCCCACAGAAGTCACACAGCTGAGTCCTGGTCATTGCAGGAGCATTAAGGAGCCTTCCACTGAAGCTTTCCCCCAGGGAACAGCCAATGGGAAGATTTCCTCAGCTCAGAAGTTCTGCATCTTTTCATTTTTCTGTGGAGAGCTTCAGCCTTTTCAGGCTTAGCACATGTCACTACTTGAAGAGAGAGTCAGAAAAAAAGCAGCTGGAAGTGAAAATAATTTGCTTTAAGGGCTCAAACAGTTTTCTGAAATCATGCTATTCAGTGACTTTCAATCAAATTGATCTTAATTTTCTAGTCACTTGGCTTCTAATTAAATCTTGTGAAAGAACTTCAGCATTAAGGGTTGCATGGGCAGAAGTGGGGCCAGGGTGTTATTTTTCTGCCGTGCACACCCGTGATCTTGTCAGCCTTTTTTCCCCATCTTAGCTGCTATCATGCACAAGAGAACGAAAGGAGTCACTCACATGTTTGTGCCTTTCCACAAGGCCCTTTTCATTAGGGGAGACCTCCCCCATAAGCCAATAGAGTCACATACAGGTTATCCACGGAGAGGGGGAGCTTGCACGACAGAAATAAGCAGAGAGAGCATCCGGCACGAAGCACCCAGTCACTGGAGCCATCCCCAGATGAAGAGGCAGGTGTCGGTATCAAGCCGGGCAGCTGCAGTGGCGGCGCACATCTGGTGGACTGGAAGCCAGCAGAACCCGTGGTGCAGTCAAGCTCCAGCACTGGGTGGTCGGAGCTGTGAGTTCTTATAGCCCACAAAGGGTGGAGGTCCCACCTATATCGGTGTTCAGATGGAATCATCCGAGTGTCCAGACTTGTGGTTTGGGACATTCTAGGCCCTTCCCAAGGGCATTCCCATTACACCCCATTACCTCAGTCTGGACATAGTACTTGACAGAACTGTCATGGCTGACAGTGACTCCATATTGGATTATTAAATTGTTCAGAAAATGCACTCTGCTCTTACTCTATACAGCTGCTCACTCCATGCTTCTTCCTCTCCTGTTCAAACCTCCGTTCATCCCCACCTTTCTGCAAGTCAGTGCTCAGGTGTTCATTTAATCACTGAATTTACTATTATACTTCATATTTTGTTCTGAAGCATTCATAGGCTTATAGGATGATTAGCCCTGACAAGGTCATTCATTCATTCATATATTCTTCGCATATTGTGCTTTGTGTGAGACATTGCTCCAGGCCTTCACTAGCTTCCATTCAAGTTTTCTTGCGGGGAGACTCATATGCAGAGAAGCCATAATAATCCAATCAAATAAATTCTATAATGGAAGTGGGAGCAGAGCACAGTGAAGTGCAGGAGTAGTTGTTACCTTGTCGGGAAGGAGACTGTGAAGTCTCCCCAAAGCTGACAGTGGGCAGATCATAAGTCAGAAAACAGGTGTAGGAATGATGTTTCCACTGGAGAACAGCGTGTGCGAAGACATGGAGAAGCTGATGGACCACTGTAGCCGAGTATCACTGTAGGGATTTCGTGAGCAGGGATGCCACTGCCAATGGCTCTGAAATGTGGGTTAACATCCTGAAAGACATTGAATGCCTCGCAAGGCAAGTTAGATTTTAAACTAGCGGCAGTTAAAAAAAGTCATTGATTTTTTTTAGTGGATATTTTTTGTTGGAATGATCACTCTGAAACTAAGGGGTACGAATCGCGTAGGAGTAGGAATCAGTGAGATTCACCAAGAAAATTTAGAAAAAGGAGAATCTAAGAGTCCAGGAGACAGATTATGAAGTCCAGAGCCAGGACTGTGACTTCGGGCATAAAGAGGAGAGATATTTAGAGCCGAAAGATGAAATGGTGGGGAGACAGAGAAATCTAAAATGAAACCAGGGTTTTCTGGCTTTTTTCACTGGCTGGATGGTTGTACCTTTCCCAGTAGGAAATCTGCATATATATACAGAGAACATTTTAGGGCTGAAAGAAATGATGAGCTCAGTTTTGTGCTTAGGTTTGAGCTGGAGATACAGATGGTAACTGAAGTAGAAGTCTGAGAAGTGAAGGTCAAGGGAAGAGTTGTGGGGTTAGTCCACATTTAAGGATATCATTAGAGGCCTGACTGGTAGGGCTCAGTGGATTGAGCACCAGCCTGCAAACTGAAAGGTTGCTGGTTCTATTCCCTGTCAAGGCACATGCCAGTGTTTTGGGTCAGGTCCCTGGTTGGAGGTGTGCACAACTGATTGATGTTTCTCTCCTCTCACATATGATGTTTCTCTCCCTCTCTTTCTCCCTTCCTTCACTTCTCTCTGAAAATAAAATGTTTAAATATATATATATATATATATATATATATATATATATATAAAATTATAGATGATCTCCTCAACTATGAATCGATTTTAGGTCCCACCCTAGCTGGTTTAGAAAGTCTGTTTTTAAAAGTCTCCTCAGGGGATTCAGGTAAGCAGCTAGAGCCAAGAATCACAGATCAAGTCCCACCCTATTCCAAGGCACTACTGGAGCCTGAGGTCCAGGGTAGGGCTGGGCTGGGTTAGAATGACTTTCCCAAGGTCACAGAGCTTCCTGGAAGCTGAGTGAGGCTCAGATTCCCAATTTACTGTCCTTTTTCCTCTGCTGCACTTAACTTCACCAGATTCATTTGTCTTATTGAGATTTTAAATCCACTGGGGATGGTCTTCATTTCTTTCCTCTGTTTATAACGTGCAATCAGTTATAACACTATAGATGGCCTCCCTGCTCTCTATCTATGAGTGTGCCCCTATTTTGCTTGTTCATTCAATTTGTTAATTTGTTGGTGAAGGGGGTTGAGATGTGGAAAGATTGAGGGAAAAACAAAAAGAATTCATGAACACAGACAACAGTGTGTGATTGCGGGGCATGGGAGGAGTAGGGTAAGGGAAGGCCGACCAGGGTCTAAGACAGACAAATGGTAATGGAAAAAATACAATAAAAATAAACTATTTTTAAAAAAAGAAAAAAAATAATAGCATAGCTGGATGAGCAGTGGATTTGGTAGACTGAGGGAGAGATGTTTCTCACACGTTCATGCCACTGGGTCTCTAACAATTCTTTCTTGTGCAGCACTCTCATCAGTAGAGAGAGAATATATTGGTAGGCCAGTCTTACTATTCCACTAGCAGCTTTTTGTAGAATCTGGTCTTTGACCTAACATTGATATAATGTGGACCATAGACTAAAAAACTTCCTTTAGTGTTTGCCTCAGCAGCACATAGACTAAAATCAGAATGCTACAGAGAAGATTAGCATGGTGCCTGCACAAAGAGGGCATGCAAATTTGTGAAACATTTCATATTTTTGATGAAAAGAAAACCAACACATGGGAAAACATATTTGCCAGTGATACCTCACATGAGGGTTTGATCTCCAAAATATATAAACAACTCATATGACTCAACACCAGGAAGATAAACAATCCAATTTAAAAGTGGGCAAAAGGCCTGAATAGACACTTCTCCAAGGAGGACATACAGATGGCCCATAAACATATGAAAGGATGCTCAAAATCACTAGCCATCAGAGAGATGGAAATTAAAACCACAATGAGATATCACCTCACACCGATCCGGATGGCCATCATTAATAAATCAATGAACAGCAAGTGCTGGCGAGGCTGTGGAGAACAGGGAACTGTTCCTAGTGACTGTTGGTGGGAATGCACACTGGTGTGGCCACTGTGGAAAACAGTATAGAATTTCCTCAAAAAACTAAAAATAGAACTGCATTTTGACCCAGTGATTCCACTGTTTGGAATAGACCCTAAGGATCCTGAAACATGAATTCAAAAGAACTTATTCACCCCTATGTTCATAGCAGCATTATTTATAATAGCCAAGTGCTGGAAACAGCCTAAGTGCCCATCAGTAAATGAGTGGATCAAAACCTGTGGTACATTTTCACAATGGAATACTACGCAGCAGAAAGAAAGAAGGAGCTCCCACCTTTCTCAACAGCAAGGATGGAACTGGAGAGCATTACACTAAGTGAAATAAGCCAGTTAATGAAAGACAAATGCCGTATGACCTTATCTATAAGAGGAGCCTAAAGAACAAAAAAACAAGCAAGCCAAATAGAGCTAGAGGCAGGGGAACAAGGAACAGACTGAGGGCGACCAGAGGGCAGGGAGTAGAGGGATGAGGATGGGAAGAAGGGGAAGGGACTAGTCAAGGTACACTTGTGAATGACGCACAGACAGACAACAGAGTGGGGACTGACTGTGGCCAGTGTGGGGGGCGGGCTTAGTGGAGGAGGGCAAAGGGGGAAAATGGGGACAACTGTGATAGAATAACAATAAAATATTTTTTTAAAAAGATAAAAGACTTCCTCTGTTTTTGTTGGAGATGTTCAGTGGTAGAACAATAGGCCCGGAATCAACAAATATTCTTATAATAGTTTATAAATGATATAAAATAAAAGATCACTGTGTTTAGGAAAATTGAGATCTTCAGGAAAATTGATTGTGGGAGACCTTACTAATGACTATTTCTATCCTTCAGAGGACATACCCCCTTGGAATTAGTCACAATCATGTGATTTGCTTTAACCAAAGAAATGTTAGCATGAGCAATATGTGTCCCCTCTAGATGGAATTAACATGTGAAACTTCTCCGTTGTTCATATTTTGTGCCCCTGACCCCACAAACCCCGAAGCTTTGCATTGAGATGGTAGTTTTACAAGATGGTAGGACGTCTGCCAACCTAGACCATGAAATGACTCTTGTGCCCAGAGCCTGTCTGCTGATCAGCGTTAGGGGGGTCAGTGAGCCAGGCTGTGAGAGAATTCACAAAGAGAAGAAAGTGTAGATAATAAAGTTTTTATTCACTCTCCAAGAAAGGAGAGGGGCGTGGTATGGAGAGATACACCAGGCTTAAGGGGGTGGGGGCTTTGAGCTTTTATTGGATTGCAATTGGATTAAAAAAGGGTGGAGGGTTGCTGTTGTGAGATCCCTGGGCTGTTGAGTTTGTAACAAGAGGCTGCAGTTTGCTCTAATGTTGTCTTCGGTCTACGACTGTAGGGAGTGGTTAGTTCTGTTCTTGCTTTCCAGTAATTTCCAGTCCTGGAGTCGTAAACTCAGAAGAGTAACATGGCAGTCATGTTTAATAAGGTCAGGCCTGCTAGGCAAATGGTGCCACGGCAGCAAATGGGGCTGGCTTTATCAAGCAGTGTAGAAAATATAATGCAAATAAGAAAACAAAACCCAAGACCATGTTTTTTTTCTCCCTCAGAATAATCTGTTTTTAATCCTAATTAGAAGAGAACTTGTTTGTCCATCTTGTAAGGACACATGAAATATATTTACTAATAAAGACAAGCAACACACTGCTTTTACTTTTATTGCATTTATTTGATGCTGAATTTACTCCCAGGTCATACGTTTTTGTTTCTTCAGTTTTCTCAGGGATATCTTGTTCTTCTGTGCAACCTCCTCTTCAGGTTCGGAACAATCTGCTCTTTCTCAGTAGGATCATGTCAACGTGGCAGGGAGAGCTCATGTGTGGGTTAATCTGCTCATCTTGGGAGCTTTGTTCACCGGCACATGCTCAATGACCAGAGAATCTACAACTAAACCCTTAAGTTCAACTCTACTCTCTGCATTTTTTTAGCATGTGCAGTGAAAATTCAGCATGCTTTTTGAGCTGCAGACCCTGTGTCCAGCCCCACTGCTAGGCCTGAGCATCTTCCAACTCTACTGTTTTAACAACAGAATGGCACACATCACTCCTGTAAAGTGACATCCTTCAGATATTTGGTGGCTTTTCACATGTGCATACTGTTGATGGCCTGGGCAGTTTCACAGATGTTCGTAAAGTGAATGAGAACATTTGAATCTCTTTATCTGCATAATTTTGTGGGGTTTTCTGATTCAAGAGAACAGCAGACCATCTTCAGAGGTCACCTCAGGCCACTTATGGAAAGAGCAGAAAACCCAAAACTATTGGGTTAAGCCACTGAGATTTGGCGCAATATATTTACAGCAGCATAATTTAGCTTCATTTGACTAATGGACTGATCAATAGGAAAAATGCACAGAAAGCGGGCATCTAATTATACAAACCCTGAGGTGTCGCTAAAGGGGAAGATCCCTGCAGGCTGGAGGAGTCATAGAAGGCATATCTGGTCAACTGGAATAATAAGACATAGACTAGATAGAGTTCAGGAGAGAAAATGGCAGGGTTATGCACTTGGAGTTGAAAAGTGAACATATTCAAAGGCAAGGTGCCAACCACTCAAAGGCAGTTGGCCGGAAAACTGAAAGTATAGCTTTAGTGGATATCCAGTTGACCAGGAGGAGTTGCCACGACCCTGCAGTTCTGTTGATTAAAAAAAATGCAAGCAGAGAACTGTGGCAAATGAAAAGCATGTCTGTATCATGAGGTAATTGCTACGCTGCTCTGCACGGATCAGAGCTGAAACAGAGAGCGAGGCCAGCTCTGGTCTCCATAGTTCAATGGGATTGAGAGAATGTGGAGAGTTCAGAGCAAAAGCCAAATAGTCATTCATTGACCAGCAAAGATGGGCTAAGGGCCTTGAAATGATTTACCCAAGAAGGGAAAGGCTTCAGGGCGATTTAAGAAGCATCAGCTTTGGACATAAACTTCAGAAGATGTACTGCACGGAGGAAGATGGCTGCTTTTTCTCCGTTGCCAAGAGCGCCAAAAGAATGGGCTTAGAGTTAATCAAAGGAAAGAATTTCCTTACCCTTACCAAGGGTTGTTTCACACCACCTAGGGCTGGAAATTTCCCTTTGGAGGACTTTACAAAGATCAGTGTTCTTGTAAAAGCAATGGATTCACTGGGTCTTTCCTAAAGCTAAGGGAAGGAAGGCTCTCTCTCAGTTGCCTTTCTGCCCTGAGCTAGATGGTGGATAATGTCCACTGTGGGACACACCCCATTTGCTGGGAGTTGTGAAAAATGTTAGCAACGTGCTAACATTTTTCACAACTTCCAGCATCTTCTGGCAGCTGTATGCCTTTCCTTCCTCTCAAGAAAACATCAGAAAACCAGGGACCAGCAAAGAAGGGCGAACCTCAAACTAGGATACCCTCAAATCCTCTTTTAAAAACAAGGTAAATGTTTTGTAAATGTTAATGTTTTAGCTGTTGTTTGTAAAAATAGCTTGTGATATGATCGATTCAACTTTTAATCAACATGTAATTATTGAGTGAGGGGTGCATGCATGCGTGTGTGTGTGTGTGTGTGTGTGTGTGTGTGTGTGTGTGTTGGGAAGTGTCAAAAGCTAAATCTACATGCCGCTACAATTCAGCGTGATAAATGCTACTCTATGGGACGTGTGATAAGCTATGAGATCAAGGAGAGAGCCAATGAGCCCATAATTGGAGGCTCAGAGAAGGCACGTGCAACCTGAGATTCACAAGGTGAGCAGAAGAAAGTCGGCCAACAGAAGAGGAGAGGCCAGAGAGCAGGGGGGCTGCATGTGTGAAGGCGTGGAGGCTGGAAGCGAGAATAGAGAAAAGGGGGGGGTGACCAAATACAGTACAGGGGCCAAGATGAACAGGTGATAGCATGAGACAAGGTTGAGACGCAGGAGGAAGGACCCTCGGGCCCCCTCCAGCATGTTAAGAAGCTTGCATTCTAAAGAGCTTGTATTCTAAGGAGCTCTAAAAAGCTTGCGTTGCAGCCTGGGAGCACAGTGGGGCCGTGGAACTGTTTTTTCAGGGATAGGGCATATCGGGTTTATATTTCAGGAAGATCACTCTGCTGCGTTGTAAACAATTAGTTAGAGGGGCTTTGAAATTAATCTGGCCTGGATTTGAATCTATGTTCTCTATTATTAGCTATAAGATGTTGACAAATTAGTTTCTCTAAATCTGTTTTCTTCATCTGTAAAACAGACATACTGATGTCCATCTGGCAGGGTGGCTCTGAGGACAAATCTAAATATTGCATGTTAAAGACCTGCAAAGTGTCTGGTACCCTGACCTGGGGCGCAACAAACCTCAGGTCCCTTCTCTAGGAATTCGTAGTCAATCAGCAAATGATAAATGCACTTGACACAGTACAGAATCAAATCCTTTTTTCATTTGACAGTAATTATCACATGGGTACTTTCTACACTCCTCTTAAAACTATAGAAACCAGACTAGATTTTCCTTCTGTCTTTTAATCATCTTTGTGGTTCTTTGTAGAACCCTCTCCAATTTTTCAAAATTCCTCTTCAATTGTGGAGACCACAGCTAGATTAGTCACCGTAGAGAATTCATTATAATTAGATCAACACTGTGCAGTCACTTGGGCGGCTGGCTGAGCCATGTAAACTCAGTCAGCTGGTCCCCGTCG